GTGTTGGCCTCAGTGATACTCACTGACAGATTTGGAGTTCAACCCTGGAAGAATTTCTCTACTTTAGCTTTGGTTCAAACAGTGACTACTCTGAATAACCTAGAATAGGGAAAGGCAACTTTTGGTAAAAACTTTTTTGGGGGGAGTTACTTGGGTTTGAACTCAAGAGCCTCACACTTGCTAGGCAGGTGCTCTACCACTTGTGACTTTCAGGCTTTCAGTTATTTTTCAAATCAGGTCTTATGTTTTCCCCAGGGCAAACATGGACCACGACCCTCCTACCTATGCCTCCAACATAGCTGAGATTATAGGTACAAATCAACATCCCCTTCTTGGTTGAGATGGGGTCTTGTTAACTTTTCGCCTGGGCTGGTCTTGAACTGCCATCTTCCTGAGCTCTGCCTCTTGAGTCACTTAAATTACAAGTACGAGTCACATTGACTGGCTGTGGTAAAACATTTTAATGTTCATATTACCTCCAAGTGATGTTGGAGAAGACTCTACTTTGAACCTCATATGTTCCCAGACATTCAGGATTGCTCTCCCTTGTTACAAGTGCAAATTTGGATTGAGTTCTGGTAAGCCACAAGCTGATAGTCACTCCATAGCTACTCGATTTGATACAGCAAGCTGGGATTTTCCCAACAGGATTTTAATAAATCATGTTAAGATTTTCCTTTATTCACAATGCAAAGAACATGATGTACAAGAGAATGTTCAGGAATACTGTGAAGGTCACCCCACATCACAAACCTGAACTGTGATATGGTACTGCATCTTAAGAACGTTAGAAACTCAACAGAAAAGCTGCATGTGTTATGAGTCATTTTGACCTGGAGAATAGACTGGGGCTGTCCCATCCAAGAGCACAGAAATCCTTTCCTGTTTGCCAAAGTTCAGCAGGTGGCTTTAAACTTTTTTTGGGCAAGAAGAAGGCAAAGTGATGTGGCGCTCGACCCTCTCAGAACTTGGTCTTCACCATGTCCCACTCTGGCTCACCAGATCAATCGGTGAGGCCAAGTTCAGTAAAGTAAAATGCTAGTTAAAAATGTTCAGCTGTCTCTGGGTACTGGTAGCTTATACCTGTAATCCTAGCTACTTGGGAGGCTGAGATCAGGAGGATCATAGTTTGAGGCCAGTCTGGGCAAATAGTTCACAAGACTCCCCATCTCCTATATGAGCAGAAAGAAATGGACTGGAGGTGTGGCTCAGGGGGTAGAGCACCTGCTTTACAAGCACAAGGCCCTGTGCCCCATTCAAAAAAAAAGTTAGCATATCTACTTTCTATTATGGAAAGGCTTGGGTCAGTCAAGACACGGCAGAGATGTCAGCTGTGAGAAAGCTGCAGCCAAGACAGTTAGTTACCTTAACCCCACAGGACGTAAGGGACACTATTAGATCCGCCAGACACAGCTGTCTGTGCAGGGTTTGCAATCAGAGAATCTGAAAGGAGGGGAAGGGAGATGTCACATTGGGTGGGCAGTTCTTGTTCAGTGGAGAATCAGCCTTTGGTTTTTGTTGGAACCCATTATCAGATATTGTCTCGTGTGCGCAGACCCCATGTGAGTTCTCCCAGGTTCGTTTCTGGGGCTCAGCATTCCTGAGATAGATTGTGTTTGGCCCACTGTCTGTAAATGCCATAAAATCACACTGCTGAGGTATGGGGCCTTCCGTGCTTTGTTAAATAATTCAATAAAGTTTTTAATATCAGGAACCCTAAGATATTCTAATTGCAAATATCATAAGAACAAAAATATGTTCCAAGGTTCCATTCCATGGAAGGAGTTACTTGTTGTCCATTTCATTCTCAATTTTAATAATTTTATAGCACTATTATTCCTTAATAGCAAAATGACCTCATTATTAAAGGAATGTAATGAATTTTTAAATTGAGAGAACACAGCAAAATATTTTTTTCATTTTTTTTCTTTTATTATTCATATGTGCATACAAAGCTTGGGTCATTTCTCCCCCCTGCCCCCACCCCCTCCCTTACCACCCACTCTGCCCCCTCCCTGTCCCCCCCACCCCCTCAATACTCAGCAGATACTATTTACAGCAAAATATTTTTACATTTTAAAGTTTCATTCTCTAATAAATGTTATGAATTTCTGTTTCTCACTTATCACTAAAATGAAGGTGATAAGTGAGTATAATACTTTAACAGAAGGTTTAATGTGGCAGTCGAATCTGTCCAGCTTTGTAGAACAGGTCTTATCTTTCAAAGCCAGTACTGAAGAGTGATGCACAGGAAATAAACATGGAAACAGTCCAGAAGACCAGAGTCTACCATGTCACTTAGTTTTGATGGAATGACACCAGGGAATGACGTGCTAACCTATTTCAGCTATAGGAAGGAGCTTTCTCTGTGACACCTGAATCTTGAATGCCATCCCTCCCTGGCCAGCCGTAATATGCAACTGATGGTTCAGGTCCACATTCAGGTTGTATTTGCCTGACAACAGCACAAGTACAGCTACCTGTCCGGTGGCACCCAGCCAGCTGCCACTTTGGCCCTATGTTCTCACCTGAACTGACTATATTTTTACTAAAGAAAATGGGTCACCCAAAGTGTGTGCTTAGCTAAGGAACTTGGCTCTCAATAGCAATAACTTCCAGCTTTGCATGCATTCCATGAAATCTAGTTGTCAAGGGTAAGAGGAAAACTTCTAGTCAATTTTTTTTTGTCATAGGACAACTATGACAGAAGGGATAAAATTCCAGGAGTCACAGTGGTTAAGGATGGAGTGGTGGGGAGCAAAAAAGATACACAGAAATTCCAAGTTTAAACAAATCTTCTCTCAAGTTCTTTAGTTTTTAAAATTACTTTTAAGATTGCAACTATGTGACATGGTCCTTTATTTTAACTAATAGAATACATTAGGGACACCTATTCAGAAATTCATTTAACACTGAATTTGCAGACATTCCCTTATGCCTTGAAGTCAGAGATGCAAACAACAACAACAACAAAAAAAAAAATCAGAGAGGACAGTAATCTTAGAGCATCAGTTTGTGACCTGGAGCTAAGAATTTTTGTTGAGATGGTGTGGTTGTTAAAATGTAGTATTTAGGTCTTACTTGAATATGGTTATGTTGATTAGTATTTCACTTGGTGTGTTTCTATTATGCAAAAATTCTGCACCTCTCATATTAACAATGAAAAATTGTCCATGTCCAATCATCATTAAAATAATACAGCAGATTTTAAAAGCCTCCAAATTTTCATCTCTCCAGCCCCTGCTTCCATCAACGTGAACCCAAGCCCCTATCCTCAGTGCTCTGAACCTTGGTATGTCTGTCTATTGTCTGGAAACATTTCCCTGTGAGACGTCCTCAGATGCCGAGAATCCATTCTGTCAATTGGCTGGACATGCAAGGCCATGTTGCTTCCACTTCTGTGTTCAGTTCTCAGTTCACGCACAGCCACACCTTGTGCAGGTGCGGGTTCCTGCTGCTTGGAAAACTAGACCCTTCCTGGCGTCCTTCTCCAGGGAAGTGATTGTCTCCCTGATTGTCAGCAGGAGAACAAGAGGTGCTATTATGTGGGCCAGAGAGAAGATAGATATGAGCTCCCACTAGGAGGACAGAATGTCTAGAAGGAATTCTGGCTCATAGCTCCTATGTTGATACCAGACCTGGGGGAGATTTGGGGCACATGGAGAAGAGGAACCCAAGGGGGTCTTTCCGGATAAAACTGTGACAACTGAGTGTTATGTTATCCCTATGTATAATATGAATTCCATACTAAATATTATCTTACATACTGTTCCCTTCTCACACGAGCTGGAACTTCTTTGGAATGTTTTATCAGTTGTTTTCATCTATGTAAACCATTCATCTTTAATAGTTGGCCATGAGTTACAGAACACTAAATATTTCCCACTGACCTTTGGACTATATCTGGTGTAACACAGAGGCTAAGGGAGCAGGAGAGTCTTTGAGACCAATGAGCTCCTGAGAAAGTGGTGCGCATACAGCAGAGATGACACCCAAGGACAGCAGTGGGAGGGGCTGAGTGGAAGAGGAGTCAGGAAGGATAGAGGCAGAGCAGCTAGTGAGGAAGGAGGCCAACAGCAGTGGAGCGCAGAGACCAGCAAGAAGTGTTTGAGAAAGAAGAACCCACTGTATCAAATAACGCTGAGGGGTCAAGAAGGAGTACTGAGAAATGAATTTAGAAATTCCCATGTCACTGGCAAATTCCAGAAAAACAATTTTGGTAGAGCCACAGAGGCAAAAGCTTTATTAGAAGCATTTCAAGAGTAGGTGGGAGGAGAAGGATTTGAAACAGTAAGTAGAGCCAGGCTTTGGGACATTTTGGTATAAAAAGAAGGAAGAAAGTGGGAAAGAAGCCTAGAAGGAAAGTAACATTTCATTTTGGCTAAAATCGATCATTTCAAATTTTTTAAAAATATTGCACCATAGAGAAAATTATTTTAATATTAAAAGATTAAGATTAACACATAACCTTTACTTCCTGATGAGAATGTCTTACAGAAAGAGAAAAAATGCACAGTTGGAGGGATAAAAACCTTATTTCTGCAACAGACTTCTTGGACTGGCTGTGATGTCTGGAGGAAACCCCAGGTCCACTCATCTGCCTCCAATGTGTGCCCAGAAATGAGTCTGCAGGAAGCAGTCTTGCTTCCCCTGGGAGCTCACAGCACGACATGCCCTCCTTTTTGTCTTCATTTGTTGACAAAAGCCCAAGCATCTATCTCTTCCTTTTGGAAATATCGTTGAAATGTTTGAGACCCAGCATTTGAAAGTTAATGCTGTGATCAGGTTGTTTTTACTCACTTTGAGCTCAGCAGTCAAATCATGTGAAATCAAATGCTAGCACGTGAAGCCACCGGGTCGGCACGGCCCGTACTTTGTCTTTACTGACTGATAGATGTGATGGTCGCAGTCCATATTTCACCAGTGTGAAATGTGTCATTGAACAAGTGGGTCTACCCGGCTGGGTCACATTGTGTATTGTTTGTTTCTCCCCACAACAGCTCTGCATCAACATGACCAATGAGAAGATGCATCACTACATCAATGAAGTGCTTTTCCTCCAAGAGCAAACAGAATGTGTACAAGAGGGGGTTGCCATGGAAACAGCATATTCTCTTGGTAACCAGGCTGGAGTTCTGGATTTCTTTTTCCAGGTATTCACATAATTAGATACTTAACAGGATACATGTATCTAACTGTACTGGAGACAAAGAATTTTCTTTGTGAAAGGCCTTGCTTTTGTGATATCTTTACAGATGACATTCTGAAATGTATTTATAATTTTCTAAAATCTACTGAGGAAATTTTTCTGAAGAGTCACTTGAAAGATCACCAATTCATTGAAAACGCAAGAAATATCAGAACATTTTGATTTTACCCAACATTTTTACTTTACCAGGACTAAAACCGTCCCTTCGGCAGTTACAAATAGACAATGTATAAAATTGATTTTTAAAAGATACTATCTAAGACTAATTATCTTATTTAACCAATTCAACAGAATCTTTTTTAATTTCAAAGTTTCTAAAACTTGAGCTTAGAAAGTTTGTCAAGAAAAATATACACAAATCTGGATAAGATGGATAAGATTTGATCTTATGCAAACCAAATATGGAATATTTGATTCAAATTCAGTCTTAGGGCATCAACCAGTGTTTGGGGTTATCTTTACTGTTTCTACTTACATTGAAAAAAACTTGACTCAGTATTTCTAGTATTTAAATAAAAATCTATGGTATAAAGCAGCAATTTTGTTTAGAAACACAGGAAGACAGCACATGGGTTCTCCCATTAGATTTTTAAAATACTTGAGTACTGTTTCATGCAGGTACCATTGTGCTACTTAGATAGCACAGAACCTCCCTCTCTGCTTTATTTCTCCACAAATGTAGGTGTCTCAGTTATTTTATTTTACACCTTTTCCATATTCTGTAACATACTCTTGTGCCTGCTACCAAACTGTGAGAATCTCACAGCCATGTTACAGCTATTCTAGGCGGTGGGAACACAACACTGACCAGAAATAGAAGTGTATGCAAAGTACAGATGCATTCATTTTCTGAGCATCTATATGAATATAATGAAAACAAAATGAGTGAAAAACAACAAAACCATCAAACTGATACTAAAGGAAAAAATTGCCTCCAAATTTTCAGAAGCCTTCAGGATTCCTCTCTCTATTGGATGAAGAAAGTCAAATGATTTGGTCAGCAGAATCAAACCTACCCAAAAAGTTGCAGAATCTCCTGGAGTCATCAAACACCAATGCCGTGTACTCCCCCGTGAAGGACGGAAATGGGAACGTCACCCTGAAGGGTCGAGGCATGGCATTCACTGTCATGCACTATGCAGGGCGGGTGAGTTGAAGTTTGCGACGTGCACTAATGAACCAACGATCCTAGGGACAAGCTTTAAACATTTGATTTCTGGTGGGGGGGCATTATTTTGATAAATGAGAGCTGGATGAACAGCCCACCTACTTTCACTTCTCTAAGATCCTTGCTTTTGGTCTGATGAGGCTTTGACATCTTCAAAGCAGTGTGGAGCATGCTCCATGGTTGTCTTGTGCCTCTGGGGCTATCATTTAATGTGTGCAAAAGAGCCATGGACTTTAATGCAAAGAGCTCTGCTCTATACTTGGAGGCCTTTTTCATGGTACAACCTTTGGGTGCCTGAGTTTGTATGTCCTTAATACAGTCTTTAGTATTGAAGCATTTTTCTTAAACATGTGATCTTGAGAAAGCAATCTGCTCTTAGTCGTGTCTGTTCTCTAGCATGTTCGTGAAGCTCCAAGCCCTTCAAAGACCTCCTCTTTCCTGTATAAACCTTCTTATGCCCCCATCATCTAGACTAATGTCAGAATGCTCTGTCCTAGTGCATCTGTTTTTCACATGGCTTACCTGTGGTAACTGCCCTAGGCAGGACCTCAGCTCAGGTGTTTGTTCTCATTCACTCATAGTGTTCTTGCACCGCCCCCCTCTCTTATACTCCTTCAAACTCAAGTGTGAAATATCCTCCCTGTCCTCTTTAACAAGATCAAGTCTTAATCCATCTTTGAACTTAAATGTTTTAAGTATTTACTTCTTAGCACTTCTGCCTCCTATGCCTGGGGTGGAAGTGCCAGGGGAGTGGAAGCCACAAAGATCCTAGCTGCAAGGGAGTCTGATAAGGCAACTTTTCTGTCCTCTGTGTCTGTTTATCTTCCATCCAACTCTATCTGTAGTTAGTCTTCCACCTTTTAATTTGAATCCCTCTGCTCCCATCCCAACCTGCCACCACCTCTTAATACAAATCAGTTACTCAATGGTGAATCCCTAGTCCCCACTTCAATGTAGCTCAGCTCATCTCCACCAGTGTTTCATCAGACTGTGCTGCCCACCAAATAAGAACCATTAGAAGGTCTAAGATGGGCAAAGCATATTCTTCACCCTCAGATATCCCATAATCAAACAAGGCAAAGACAAATTAGCAAGTATTAATATACCAATGTTATTAACATAATCATACTACAAATTTTATATATTCTCATAGAGAAGGAAGCAAATCAGTTGACTCAACCAAGCATAGAAATGTTCTCCAGAGGACATACAATGTGTCCTAGGCCTACAGGGCTGAGTTCTGAGTTCAGGTCCAGTAATTATAAAAGAGAGGGCATTCTAACAAAGACATGAAATGGTGGTAGTAGATGATGTGCTCAAGACTTGGTTGCACAAGACAGAATCTGTTAGAGATATTTAAACAGAAAATAATCCAGTAAACAAAAGGTCATTGAGAAATGAAATTTGAGGAATGCCCTAAAGCCACACCACAGGATCAAGCCACCAAGATAGGTGCAGCCTCATCATTGGTCTGGAAGCTGCCAGCCATATTGAGAGGCTTCTGCTATAGGTTCTGATTCTGTTATTGCTGCCTGTACCCTGAAGCTTAGCATCAAAGAAATGAGTGACAACACTCAAGGGTCACCACTGCCAGAGCAAAGATCACCCCATGCACAACAGGCTTATCTGATAAAGTGACAGAAGCCCCAGAAGTGCAACCTCTACCACTTCTGCCTGGTAAACTAGGGCAGTGGTATCAAATGGGTGGAAGCTAGCGGGCAGTTAGCTCCTAGCTGCAAGGGAGTCTGACAAAGCAACTTTCCTGTCCTCTAGCTTCTGAGGTGCAGAAAGGCAGCTAAGGTAGCAGTTATGCCATTCCATCAAGTCCACCACGTCATATTTAGGAAAGGGTGCAAGTTCAGTTAAGAAAGAATGGTAGGCAAAATGCCTAAAATGCTTGTTTGGGGCAAAATCACTAAAACCATGCATGTACTGTTGAGAACTTTGTTCTGTTGACTGTCAGCTCATAGGATATTTTTAGAGAGGGTGGAAAGAGGAAACAGGGAAAACCGAGGCAGTGATTTGGAATTGGTAAAAAAGCAAGGGGGCTTTGGAAATGCTCAGTTAGGGTTTGAATTTCAGCAATAGCAGTGGATGCAAAGATGAGATTCACAAGGAAGAGGGAAGCAAGGCTGCGACTGGTGAGTGTGTAAAGTGAGGGAGGCAGAGCCCAAAATGCACCAAGAGTCCTCATGGGGCTCGCATGGAGCAGTGCACTGTGCCAACCAAGAGAGAAAATCCTGGAGAACAGGGGTGATACTCTCTTTTAGATATTGTGAATTTGAGGTTTGTAGTGGGAATCCTACTACTATGCTGAAAATACTTGATGCTAGCTAGGATCAAACAGGTCAGTTGATTTTAGGATCATGCATGGATATGTTTTTGTTGATGATTTTACCCAGGAAGAGCATGGGGAAGGGGAAGAAAAACAGTTATTAAAAGGGAAGCAGCTGGGTTGTCGGAGTGGCTCAAGTGGTAGAACACTTGCCTAGCAAATGTGAGGCCCTGAGTTCAAACCCCAATATTGCCAACACACACACACACACACAAAAGGAAGCAATACAAAACCTGGAGGAAAAGTTGATGTGATCATTAGGCAAAGACAGCCTCTGTGAGAAGTGATGGTGAAGTGGTGTCGTGAAGGTTAACAGGATGTGGGCAAGAAGTCAGTAGAAGACTTTATCAAAGAGATTTCACCTTTAAAAATTCTTTATAAAGGCAGGAATCTTCACTCTAAATTTTTTAATCCACTCCTTCTTAATATTAAATATTTATTGAATTTATGAAAATTATGTAAAAATTTACAATAAGGTATAATGACTTCAGGAAATTATTTTCCTAAAAGATTTATGGGGGCAGTAGTAAGTGTGTATGTGCTCAGCCCACCTCGTAGGTCTGTTTGCCTTGGACCTTGGAGATGAAAGAGGAACTCAATAAATGCTCACTGCATTAAAATGTGGTTGGAATCATAGCCTCTAGATTATTCTGTGTTCAGCTTTACAATTTTTTCTGGGTACTTAACAAAATTCTAATTTCAATTGGTTTTTAGAAAAATTGGGGCGGAGAGCCCACTAATAGTTTAAATTAATAGAACTATTTCAGAGTTTTAATAGACATTAAGAAAAATCAGGACAGTCAATTGATTAGTTGATACTGAGCCAAAATCCCTGTGGAATCATGAATTTTCCTCTAAAAGCACCTCTCCTTTTTAAGCAGGTTTTCCATAATTGGAGTCAATTTTGTGGTTTTATAAAAATCTTTCATTTCAGTGAAATGGACTAATGAGTATTAGCCAAAGGACTCCCTGAGGACTCGTTCACGTCACAGGAGAGATATATGTAATTTGTGGCAATATGTCCAGACATACGCCATTTGAATCATGAGACGTAGGTAGACTCACTTAAATTTGGAGCTATTACATTTTGAAAAAACAGCAGCCTGTTCTACATTTTGTAAATCAAGAAATGTAGAAAAAGTTGACTTAAAAATTGAATGCAGTGTCTATTTTTGACAGCAGGGGGAGCACTCTCTTTGGCAGTTGAGTTGACCCCCCCAGGTGTGTTTTGCTTGCAGCCTCTTCTTTTGGGCAGAGGGATGGGCTACAACACATCTCTTGTCACCACCTGCTTTTCCCTGGGGGGGCTTACCTGTTCTCTTTAGAGAAAATTTATTACATCTCCTAGGAAGGATTACTGGTGATGATAGGACATCCAGCCCCCACCTGGATGGACTTATTGGTTTGGAGCAGAGGCTCGGAGGTCCTTTTAGAAATGTTTAAGCAACATTATTTGAATTATAGTTGAGGATGTTTTCTAAACACATTTGAATTTTTCATTACTCACAGGAGCACGGTGTATTTTCAAATCTCCATTCCAGGAACACTTCACAGCAAATGGAAAGAGGCTGTGCATGAAATATTAACAAGGTCTCATTAATGAGCAGGGTTTGGATTAAAGGAAGCTGGGGGGGGGCTTGTTATTTGGGTTGATTATTTGTTTTAACAAATTTTAAATCATATATGAGATTACCTGTTTTAAAGTTTGCCCTTAAACTGCTGATTTAAGGGACAGATAAGCATTAAATCCAGAATGGTGTCTAATTTTATTGGCTTTTAAAATTAAAAATCTTGAAGGGAAGAAGACTTATAGCTTGACAAAAGATAGTGACTCTTAGGAGAATTGAATTTCCATTAAGGCGATTCTAAACTAACTCTGGGAAGAAACAGTGTTTTAATGTTCCTAAATTTTGATGTGGGAAAAGTGAATGGAGTAGGAGATAAGAAAGTGATTTGAAGCAATAAAGATTGAATTAATACAGTTTAAGTTAAAATTAATAGTTGTGAAACATATGTTGCATGCATACACGACCTTTGTTTGTTGTCTGATCATGCGTCTTTGTCTGGAAGTTAGTATAGATTAGGATGAAGCAGTTTCCTTTGGATATTTCTATTAGGTGAATAGACCGCTGTGACTGGCCTAAATGACTTACAGAAGTTCAAGTCAGCATTGCTCTTCCACCCTTAGGTGATGGTCTGTCCCAGCCCAGTCTCTCTCCAAATGCTTACAGAGCATAAAAGGTAAAAGATGGCCCCCAGAGGTGTGTCCAGGTCTTCATCCGTCCACACAAGCTGTGGATAGGACCTTGGAACAGGGATCTTTGTCTATGCAGTGAAGAATTTGAAAGTGATGAGATCATCCTTGATTATGTGGATAGGCATTAAATCCCACAGGAACTGTCCTGAGGGGGAGTTGAGGGACAGATGGAGGTGGTGATGTGAGCCATGGAGTGATACTGGAGTGACACAGGCCAGGAGCCAAAGGACACCTGGAGCCACCAGGAGCCGGAAGAGGCAGGAAGGATCCCGGAGAGCTTCCAGGACTGCCATGTTTCAGAGATCTGGGCTCCAGATCCACAAAAGGGAAACTTCTCTTGTTGTAAGCCATTCAGTTGATAGTTATAAGACACTGAATAAACTAATA